GATAAAAGCGATGATGTGCACAACGGCAATCATCCAAATACTGATGGATTCGGATCACCGAAAGGCTCCGATCACAATCCTAATCAGTATGGTCCAGATCCACGGTCTGCTGGTTCTTCTGGACAGACGAATCCATTTGGATTTCGCCAAGCTGACTATGATGAGTGGGAGAACTTACGAGCTCCTCTACCAGCAGCTGCCAGAAGAAACCCTCCAAGAAATAGAGTAACTCCCAACCGTCCATTTAATGTTTACGGAAATCGAAATCCTGTTGAGATCGAACGTGATATCGATTCTCAAGCACGCTGGCAAACTCAGATTAATCCAACAAATGAACCTGAAACAATAACAAATAGGGTTCCTGATCCAGCCGCTCCTATGGACACAGATGACGATATGAGCGATCTTGCTCAGCAAGGGGGAGAAAATTACTTGGTTTACTTGCTGAATAATGGTCATCAACTATATGGTCTTCAAGCCAGTAGTTATGATAACGTTCGTGAATGGACATACAAACAAGTCCAGAAGCGTCCTAAAGATGAACGACCATCTTGGGAAGCAGCATGCAGGCTGGAATTACAATCACTCAAAGATAGAAACGTCTTTGATGTGGTCACACTACCCAAAGGCCGAAAAGCGGTGAAATCCCGCTGGGTATTTGACATCAAGTCTGACGGCCGTAAGAAGGCAAGACTTGTTGCGAAAGGATTTTTGCAGAAACAAGGGATAGACTATAACGAGTTGTTCTCTCCTGTAGTACGATTCGAAACCGTACGACTTCTATTGGCACTAGCAGCGCTTGAAGATTGGGAGATCTCTGCGCTAGACGTTAAAACAGCATTTCTTTATGGTGCCTTAGATGAGGAGATTTACATGGAACAACCTGAAGGCTTCGTTACGGACTCCAGCAAGGTTTGGAGGTTACGCAAAGCATTGTACGGATTAAAACAGGCTTCTCGTGCCTGGTGGCGTCAATGTACTGAATCCATGAAACGTCTGGGATTCAAACGATGCTTATCCGATGCCGGCGTATATGTCTTCAACAAGAATGGCAATATGGTTATTGCCGTCGTCTATGTCGACGATGCTTTATTCATGGGTCCTGATCGCAACCTTGTCAACAGACTAAAAAGCGAATTCATGAAAATCTGGGAATGCTGAGATCTAGGTGAACCAACAGAATTTCTGCGAATGCGAATTACTCGAGATCGGAAGAATTGCAAACTGATCCTTGATCAGCGAGACTATCTTGAAAAGATAATTCGTAAATTCGGAGTTCTGAACGCCAAGACGGCATATACGCCTTTGCCAGAAGGCTATAACCCAACCCAAAACCAGGGGGAGGTTAATCCCGAGATTAGGCATAGATTCCAATCGGTTATCGGATCATTACTTTACTTGGCTCTCGGAACGAGACCACACATATCATTTGCTGTAATCAAGATGTCACAGTATGGAGCTAATCCTAATCAGGAACACCTCCAGAAGGCACTTTACATCGTGAAATACCTTGTTCACACTGCAAAGTACGAACTCATTTACGATGGTAGATCCAACCAAGGACTACTTGCCTTTGCTGACTCTGATTGGGCAACTGATAAAGATGATCGTCGATCACAGACTGGATATATCGTAAAGCTTGCCAATGCACCAGTTTGCTGGGTCTCTCAGAAACAGAAAACGGTTGCATTATCATCCACGGAAGCAGAGTACATGGCTCTATCTGACTGTACACGTCAGGCTTGCTGGATGAAGTCGTTGATGAACGAATTGAACTTCCCTATTTGATCAGTTCCATGTGTTAGCGACAACCAAGGCGCTATCTTTCTCAGCAGCAATGAAGCTACTGATAAAAGAACAAAACACATCGACAATCGATACCACTTCATCAGGGAAGCAGTGGAACACGGAAAGACTCAAATCTATTTCGTTGAAACTGCTAAGCAACCTGCTGATCTTCTTACGAAGAATCTTGGCAGAACAAAGTTCGAATTGTTCAGGCAATCTTTAGGATTAACATTTCACTAGTTCCATGATTGCATGATGCACTTAGTGAAGGGGAGTGTTGAACATGATGAATATCATGTGATACATTGTTGACGTGTTGTTTACGCGTCACACTATTTATAGAGCTACGCCTCTAGAACACTTGCGTCCTCATGCAAGCACTACGTCTCTGTCTACGTATTTCACTACGTACCTAATAGTTTCATCATAAATGACACTATAGACAGTCGCTATCCAATAGCATAAGTAGAGCCTCCAATACATGAGGCAAACACGACTATGCTCACCAAGCATACTACCATTCATGGTAGAAGTACTTACACAGTACTAATGTCTTTTACGCCTTTAGGGCCGAATACCTACTTCTAGTAGTAGTTTCAGTTAGTGTAATACCCATTACATGTACCAGAAACTTATGTATAAAAGACTGGACGAAAGGCCTTAAGCCTAAGGACAATCTACTCGATTATCACCTCTTCACAAGCATCTCAAGACTACAAGAACACTCTATGTATTACCCATGTGAGGTTTACTTCGTTATACCCACTATGCACTTTAACTATGCTGGCTCATTATACCCCGACTCGCCAAACGAACGGGTATACCCCGGCTCTGTCAAATGAACGGGTATACCCCGACTCTGCTATAGGAGCGGGTATACCCCCGACTCTGCTAAACGTCCGGGTATGCCCCCATTCTCCAAACGTGGGTGGGTATCCCCGGATTCTCCAAGCCAGGCGGGTATACTCCCATGCTCTCAACTTAAGCGGGTATCCCCCGACTCGCTAGACTAAGCGGGGATACCCCGCTATCTCAGCGGGACCGGGTATCCCCTCATCCTTACGCAAGCTCAATTATGCATACCTTGTAGGTCCAGTTGTGGGTCCATGTTCGCTATGTTGAGTTTAATTTTTCTACCTGAAAACTGAACTATTTTCATTAATTTCAGGACGACGACGCTGACTTTCAGCGTTTCCTTCTCAGGCTGCACAGCTATATTTAGCCTTGGGCACTCTGCCTCCCACCACCACTTTCCATCCAGCACCGAATCGTGTATGCCCTTCCTCCAGTATCCCTAGTCTTCCGAGCTCACTTCTCTACTACCTTGGCCTCCAGAACACGTTTCGTCGACCCAACAGGTGCAGATTCTACGGTTCTTGCGTTGCTTTCTCACTTACCCAACATCCAGAACTACGTGCGTTTTATCTCGTTATTTCGGGTCTTCTGTCCCATTCTTTCTCCAGGTCGGTCTTCAGGTAACGCTAAACCGCGAGATAGGTACGTCTCTCGAGGTCCTGCTTGGTGTTTGCCTCTCTACTCACCAGTTTTTCGGTTTTAGGCGCCCATCGCGATTTTCTATTGCGAACACGGTCATTTTCGTTCCCTACACTCATCGAGTAGAGAACTGACTTTTCCTTACTCCCCTCCCTTTTAGAATCACTGGAATCCCTCGATAGCCCGCGGAATTGCATCAACCTTTACCCCTTCTCGTTTCCATCGCGTTCTTACCCATCGTCAACCACTTGAATCGACACTCCAATCAGGTGAGTTTTTTCTCCACTAATTCGTTCCTTTTGTTTTTGTTTTTGTTTTTGTTTTCATTTCTTATATCTCCGCTCGAGGCGTCTCTCGCTCACCCTCAATGTCGAACCCCAATCCTCCCAACAATTTCCTCGTTCCATTGTGGACCCGGGCCCAACTCCAGGCGTTATGGCCCGCCGCCCGACTCGGAATCCTCTCCCCAGTCCTCACCCCCAACGACTTCATCTACCTTTTCGAAATCTGGGAAGGTCTTGAGCAGATTTTCAAGATCGGAAGGAGCAACAACCCTCCGCGGCGTTGCCAGTGTATTCGTCGCTGATGTGGACCAACACGGCAGCGAATCATCGCTGTAGTTCGCGCGAGTTGTTCACATCGAACCGGTACGTTTTTCATAGCTATTGAATATCCGATTAACCCTCCTTCAGAGCCTTTGATGCATATAGACGTCGTCCACCATCTCGGATGGACACAATATCAATCCCCATGCCAATGTAAGTCAATTCTCCTTCATTATTCGCTCAGTCTTTTATATTTGCTACCTTCACAGGCAACCAGGACCACCGAGAGAAGTTTCGACGGAACGGCACTCTCTTACAAGTTCTCTCCGAGTTCTTCAACTCGTTTGCCTATACCCGCAACAAATAGTCCTACAAAATTCTGAGTTGTTGTCTAGTAGTTCTCATCCAAGCTAATAGTGTACTTACCTTCTTGTTGTATATTCTCACCGTCGACTTCTAAGTCGAAGTAGCATACTCGTAACTTTCTTGCTGTATTATTTCATCGCGCCTCGAGTTTCGCGTATTGTACTTGTAGATTTTCTTGTTATATTCTCGATGGACTCCAAAGTCTGCGTACTGTATTTGCTTGTTGTATTCCCTTTGCAGAACTGTCGACAAAACGTACCGTATCGTTTGCCATATCTTCTAATATACGTACCTACCTACCCTTACTGCATAGCGTAGCTGCCCATTGTATTTAACAAGGTCGATACTAATAGAAAGACTTGAGTTCGGAGCTGATACCGCGCAGTGTAAAATACCACTTACTGGAATTAGGCGCCTCGGACATAGCAGCCTCAGAGTCCGAGGCCTCGGATACTCTACCGGACCTCGGTCCGAAGTTCGAGCCATGCTTGGACCGGCTCAGACCCTCGGGCCTCCTGTTTTGAATGCCAGCTAACAGTCCTAGGGCTGGGTTCCAAACTCATAGACCTCAACGCCGATTGGGGCACCAGAATCTGGTGGGTGGGTATTGGCGTCTACTTATTGTAGGCGCTAAGCTAGATCTCGAGGCGCTTAATTCAACGCCGGAGAGGCCGTTGGACGCTTGTAGCTCTGTTAAAAATATGAATATGGACTAGTAAAAGATGAGAAATAGGTTCCTTACTTGTCTTTGACTTGGAACGTGATTCAACAAAATAGTTCTTAGGCGAATGGACCGCCGCTGTGAAACGCAACTATCGGGAGTTGAACCCGAGTCTGCGTAGGAATTCTGGAGAGCCCTTGTACAAATTTGGCTACGCCGTGCTGACCGCTGCACCATAGTTGCTTGATGATAATTCACCAATACGCCGCCCATACAACAAATGAAGGAAACACGTTTTTATTCTTCTTGAGTACCCAGAGTAGGTATCCATAACTTGACGTTCATCGCGATGACCCATCTCGAGCTCGAATGTACTGGCAACTGCCTCAGCAATCTCGCAGCAGTTCTTGACCTTCATGACCCTGCAGGAGATGTTCCTCATGGCTCGCTCACATTACACACCCTCGACTCCGAAGTTCTCTTCGCCCTCACAGTCAGAGCAACACCGAACGTCATTGAGGTGTGTCGATGCCCATTCAACGTTCCACACCGCGGTGATCTCCTGCACAGTGGTCATCGACTCACATTGCGACAATGGGACACTGAAAACGTGAGTTCCATTCCCTGATATGCCCCCGTCCTTTTGACTGATTCGCTGTCGTGCTTCTAGAGTAAATGCGGGTGTCCTGAAATTCTTTATTCTTGGGATGCGTCTCTGTTGAAATGTATTTGGGCAGGACTTCAGCTATGGATCGCGCTCGAGGATGGGAATGATAAACATATAGAAGAAATGAGGGCTGCTGTTGAAGAGGGTGGACCGGTACGCAGTGAAGAGAGGCTGGGAGCTAGTGCGACAGCATTGGAGAATGGGACTGAGTGACTCGTATTCTCTTCAGCAATGTAGACGTAACATAAAGGCATGGCGTAGAAAATAGGACGTACTAGCCACTATACCATGATTGGCTTGACGTGGCGACGCACTGGGCTGGTTGGTCCCAGCACATTCCCACTTACCGAGGAGATACAGAAATATCACACAAAGAGCACCCGATAGTAGCGTATGAAATCGTTTGGTTTATTTCGCACAAGTCCATAGAAAATTCACGGCATTGTACCAACTACGTCGTGACAATTAGACATGAACTGCACCCACATCTAGTCGGTCTCAGATTCCCTATCACTAAGATCCAGCATGGCGAGATGCTCGTACAAACCAGAATCCACGACGTCTTCTACCTCGTCCATCTCTAGCTCATCCTCGTCATCCAATGCGTTCCGAATGTCGTTGAACTCCTCTATGATGTCGGTCAACCTTAAACTGCTTGCGTATGCCAGCTCGCTTGCCGACGGACCCCATTCTCGTACACCAACTGATGCCTCAACCTGGCGTAAGTCTTCAATCCACCGTGCACATAGACTGGCAAGGTCGTTTTGACGGCCCTCCAGCATATAGCGTTCATCCTCGTTATCTTCGTATTGATTTCGTCAATACATGCTTGTTCAATCACGTTTTGCGCGACGTACCACTTTGATCAATGCTTAACAGTACTGTGTCCCACTCCTCCCCAAACCATATCTGCATCGCATCCCTTTCCTCCTGCAGCCTTTCTAATTCTTCCTCGCAACAGTCTCTTTGTAGCAGATACCGTATGCCAGTACAAACATTTTCGTCCGATAGCCATAGCGGAGGCCGACCGTCTTCTGCTCGATCGGAGAGGCCTATATCTTGCCAAATGTCGTCGTCAATGTCGAGGCTGAAGAGTCCTTCCAGTACAATCTCCTTTGGAGCCACGGCGTTGTGAGGAGCTTGACCCTTGGCGATGTATCCTTGCATCTCAGTACATAGCTTGTTGTACCAACGTGCGATCTGTTGAATGCCAGGGTCCTTCTTCTTGACGGAATCTTCAATTTGATGGTGAGCACGTTGTTCTGTAGGGTGGTAGAGTGTTAGTTGAGCTACGCAGCGTGATCAGCAAGGCACGCTTACCTGCCTGAGTTTTTCGGAAGGAACGTTCAATGCGGTCTCTTTCAAACTTTCTCGAACGAAGCTTCTGCATCAGCCGCGTCTTGAGGGCGAGGGCGTTCATCCTCGCCCTCAGGTAGGGACTTTCCAGAAGGTGCCGTACCTCCTCCTTTTCCTTCACTCCCAGCAGCTTCTCCTTCTGACGAAGGGTTTGGTTCGCACGCTTGATATCCTCCCTGCACTTAGCCAGGCGTTCCATAGTGTCCAAGTGGTCGTAGTCATCGTTTTGTAGGTTGGCCAGAGATTGAGTGAGACGAGAGGAAGTTTGTTCCAATTCGTGCGCAGCTTGTCTAAGTCGAACCACTTCTTCAACGGCCTTTCTGCCTTTCTTCTTCGATTGAGCTGACATCATCGTAAGTAATCACAAGGAGACCGGAGACCGGAGATCAACTCGTACCGGGGAGGGGTTTTGTCTGGTCCGCTACCTGATCCGTCCATTCTTTCCGCAATACGTTCTCCATGACCCCGCATGTCTTCAGCTGGTACTCTGCCTCCTGTAGCTTCACTCGCGCTTGGTGGTCCTTGTGAGCAATCCATTGTCCCAGTTGTTCCAGATTTTGCTTGTCTAAGTAATTGATCTGGATATCCAGCGTGTAGACGCGATGATGGTACTAGATGGTAAAGATGATGAGTACCCAAGCTATCATGGCAATGCCGAGCTGGAGGTCAGTTTTCCCGACTGTTACTCCTTACATCCTCCACTATACTGCCAGCTCACAAGCGCAAAGACCGTTACATAGGCAGCATCTCGTCGACAAACGATGGCACAATGAAGATAAATCTCAACCACAAACACTTGACCGAGACTTTCGCGAAGGGTTCATAATCTGAAGTACGATGATAGAGGAACTTTTCATATTCGTATATCTACCGTTAATAACGACTACCAACAGTTGGTGTTTACGGGATCCTCATGAGGAGAAGATTTCATTCTGAGAGTTTTTCCCGACATGGAGAAGCTTGGCCATCCTCAATGGAGCCTGGAGTACCAGTGGTTGTGCGATCTCTTACGAGCAGGGAATGACATGGAGCCAGAACCCATTGCCACTCCTGCGTGGCCTGCCCTACCTGCGGATAACTGACCGATCCATTGGTGGGCTTCGCACTCGTATTTCGCGGTATTGGTAAGGTATTGGCACTTCGGGGTCTTTACTTCGTTGTGCATCAATCTGTTTCAAGAGTAAAAAAATTCATTAAACGATACGTCTACTGTAAGGAGATACTTGATGACTATACTACAGGGTACCTAGCGATTTACATACGGATGGGGTTGAGTGGGTCCACATGTCGTGGTGGTAAGAAGGAAAGAAAGGAACCGTGGCCGTGCAATGAGTCACAAAAGATAACGGGCCATCAACAGAAAGCACCATGTGATGCTCATCACATGGTGCTTTCCGTTGATTGCCCGTTATCTTTTGCAGGGATTGTTCTCCCACGGCTTCCCTCTTGTCGTCTCTCCATCAAGATCTGACTGGCCATCGTCCAAGTCTATCGTAGTAGTTGTATGAGTTTCATGATAAATAAATTCTCTTAATCAGTTCTCGAGTAAGATAACATCGTAAGTCAAATTATTGAAACAATTCAAGTAGAGAAAAGAAAGGGAGAAAGACGTGAAAGGGGGTCATGCTGCTACGCGGCGTCCGTCTCAATAAAAATATCCCCAGTAAAACATGAGGCTGACTCTCCTACAGACACAACGTGCAACATGGCAACGAGCATTGGGGCGTCCACGTCAAGACAAGCTATGGAGACAGAGCACACCAAGCGGAGAAGAGTAGTTCGAAACAGATGGATTGACGACGAAGCGGGTATAGATGACGATGAAGAAGACTTTGATGATGATGAAGAGCAGGGTATGAACGATGAGAAAGATGGAGGAGAGGGCGACAGAATAGCGAGAAGAGACAGATCGTCTTTGCCAAGGATAGAAACGCGTCGTTTAGGTACGTTCTGACGTTTTAGCATTCGCACTCTTTCTGATATCTCTTATTCAGGCTCTAGGGGCGGAGCACCTCAGATTTTTGACGGATTGATCGCACGCGTTGAAGGTCCCCGGCCCCAAAATAGTAACAATGCAGGGAACCAGAATGAAACGGTCGGGGAAAACTCAGACGATAGTCCAGATGAGGAAGCTGGGCATTCACAACATGAGCCTTCATTCGATCCGGAAAGTCCTCTAGAAAATGCCATGTTCAAGTTATTCGCGGAGGCAGACACGGCCCTGTATCGGGTCAAGTGCGAGGTATGTTATCCCCACTTATTGGGCAGATCTTTCATATCTAAACAGTGCGACAGCCGGGCTGTGAACTTCCTGCAATCATGTATCTCATACAACGTGCCGTTGCAGAAGACACACCAAAATCAGACCCTAATTCTGGAAATCTAGAGAGCTCGAAGTGTGAGGGAAAAGTACTGCTGAGCTCCTTGATTCGTTCGGCGTTCATGGGCAAGAAAACCGGTCACATCTACGTTGAGGTTACAAGCTGGAATGTTAGAGATCCGGTTCTACGGGAAATCTTCCACAGCACCCCTGGTCTACTGTACCCTTCCTGATATCCTGGTGGCTACCCTGTTCGGTTCCATCCGGGTGTCAAAGACTCCCTGCCTGCAGTGGAATTTGTGGAGCGTGATGAATGGGCTCAAACTCTCCATATGACAGGTAGGGGGGTCCTACCAGGCGACTTTGTCCAGATAGGGCGCCACGCCAAGTATCGGGGTGATGTTGGCCTCGTAGTAGACGTAGATCGGGACGATCTGATGTCCGTATCCCGCGCACGCCTTCTGGTTCCCCCGAGAATTCCTTACCATTGGCGTCTCAAAGTGGACCAATCACATTTCAACGACCGAGCACTTGAGTACTCGAGTGAGGACCGGTTAAATCCCAATCACGAGGACTTCTACCTACGACCATTCCACTACAAAGAATGGCTCGCCGCAGGATGGAAGTGGAAGGCCGATTTAGTCCCTCATTGCCGAACACACAGATGCAAGACGCCCAAGGACCCCGAAGTCCCGAATGTGGAAGGACACTGCAGACCGTGCCAGGACTGGGAAATGTGTCCCGAGGCTTACCTCGTGTTCCAGAAACGCGAGTTTCAGGACATGTTGGAATCTATATGGGTCAAGAACTCACGCCTCTCTAAGGCGGACAGTATTGCTTTCCACGCCGGAGTCTGTTTCCACGTCAGCCAGTTTCAGAATCAACAGCTCTATGATTCCC